GTAAAATCATGGCAGGAGAAATCATATATGCATAACAAAATTTGTTTGTGATTCATGACCTATTTTTTAGCACACACAGCATTTCTTGGATCGTAAAATCATATAATAATTTGACACCGGTGACACCATGATCTTATTTCTTTGTAATTATAGATCATAAAATAATGTAACATTAAGTTCAACCTGAACAACCAAAAAAATAAAGAAAAAAAAAAACTAATATCTAGGCAATATTGAAGATGGTGGCTGGCTAAACATATATCCATAACATTTACTGGATCGATCCCATTTTGCACCTTCAGGGTAACATGTAATAATTTGATTGCTCTCTCTTGAATTATCAAAATACATATGGTACCGTACCCATAAAACGGGTTTATTAGTAGTAATATGCACGCGTTATGTTGCAGGACTTGAATGCATTAACCTTAATTGCATGAATAAGACACATTTAATCTAAGAAAAAAAATTCAATATATTCATGAATGAACAAAAGGGCTAGATGAGTGAGTGATGTCGGTAAGATAAGCAACTTAACTTTTATATACATTCAACCCAGCTAATATGTAGTTGCAAAAAATGCTCTGTTTCGCCAAGAAAAAGAAGCAACAGCCCCGTATGCTTGACCAATGGTTCCATACTCGTTTTCAATCCATGGAAAATTCTTTGTTACAATTGATCACACCAAGACTAAAATAAAGGAGGACTTCTAATCCCATAAGTTACCAAAGAAAATTCTTTGTTACAATTAATCATACCAAGAGAAAAATAAAGGAAGACTTCTAATCCCATAAGTTAGCAAAAATTCTACTATCCTAAATTCCTAATCCCACTTGACTTCACTGCCCCACACCTTTGTCCTCTGTCTCCCATTGACTAAAAACACTCCCAAATCACACCAGCCAGCCATACAAAGCCGCTGGCCACATCAAATTTTAGGCACAATTCAGGTAACCAAATTCAAATACCAGAGTTCAGATACTGAAATGCAAAGAACACGATACATACAGTAAAATTCAAGAACATGATTAAGAGGATTTGAACAGGTCGAGTAAAATTATATTCAGTTGAATCCTAACTATAAAATGCTAAATAAAGACGGAAAATAATACAATAGTAGAAACTTTTGAGAATGGACATAAAAGAATTTATGTTCAGAAATCAACTTCAAATAGGAAGAGAAAAGTTTAATGCGCTCATAGCATCCTCCATTGTTGTACGCCATTCTTGGATGGACGATAAACCATATCTGACACAGCCATTCTCGCAATCTTTGAAGAACTTTTCAGTTTTAGGAGTGCTTAGATTATACCCATTCCAATCTGAAATTAAATAAGAACTCAATCAAAAACCTTAATCCTACAATTCAATGCTGAAAAACTAAAGTAGCCAGAAACCAAAAGATCTTAGTGACAACTTGTACGGACGATACAAAAATGCAGTATGTGAAACACATTAAAACTTCTAGAAACTTGAAGTTATCGCTATTTGGTTATGAAGATAGATATATATCACCAGGAAACCAAAAAAATGGCAAGGATTTGCCAAAGTTTGTAAATCAAACACAGATGTGCATCAACTCCTTTTCCTCTGTTAGTCTACTATCATCTCACATGACACACCATTTGAGACTGGATCAATTCGATTACAGCCAAACCGCCAATATTAAACTTAATTAAGTACCGATCAAATGATGTAAACATTGTGTATTACAGATCCAAATCAATAATGATAATAAATAAGATAATTTCAGCTGCGATTTGCAATTAAAATTGAACAATGCTTACTCCCAAGAAATATCTGAAATTGATTGCAGCCTCACTTCATAATTCAAGCACTACAAGTCGTTTCACTTTATTTTCGATTGGACCATATCCATATGATCATGAGATTACAATTGGACTAGGAGGAGTCGGCAAGGCAATGGTCCATACGCCGGCCACCACAAAGGATGTGATTTGCTGCCTCAAAGGATGTGGTTTGATAGCATAACACCCATATATTGAGATTTTTTGTAATTTCATAAAAATTTTTTGAGATTTGCAAATTTACAATAGCACTCCTCGAGTATAAAATTGATTTCACAAAACTCCATTTACTAAAATTTCATCCGAAAACTTGTCATATCATAATAAAAAGGAAATGAGATTACACGAACGCCCCTTGAAATAATCTCATAAAGTTTATTTTAACCATTACAATATATAAATACATTATGACCTTACAAAATTGAACGAGCCAAACCTCTGAGTTGCCATGAGCACTATGTTCACCAAGAGTGAGAAAAAAAAAAAAGAATCAAGAAATAGGAAGTGTAAAAGAGTAATAGGTATCTCAAGTATGTCAAGTTGCTATATCAATTGTGAGTATATTTTGGAAGTTCCATTGTTACACACTTTTTGAGTATTATTTCTATCTCTTGTTATTTTTATTGTAAACTATATCATGGGCTCATCAAAATTCCAACACATCCAATATCGCATGTATCGGATGAAAAGTAAAGGGATTAAAAATAGACTTGTCCACGTTAAATACCCAGGTCATCCACTTAATTTCCCATTACACATGTCAAAGGGTGCAGTTCTAATCTCTCCAAATAGCACGTTTCTTTGGATCCAGCCATCAGGCGTTTGTCAAATTACAATTGATGACTGATATGATAATTTGAAGTCTTATGTCAAATTTTGTACTTCTCCAACTAAATTGTCAAATATTATTTTATTAATTAAATAGAATTTTAAATGCTTGGAATTATTAAAAAGTTTCAAAAATTTTATTGGTTCAAATGTTAGTGGAATAAGGGATCCACAATTAAAATTAATTAAAAAGTCAATGTCAAATTTGATTACAAATCACAAAGCCTTCAACTTCAGTTAGCAAATAACACTTTGGTTAGAGAAACTTTTGATGTCAAATATGCACAGTGATATTTCACCTAAATGCTCTTAGCATTCAAACAAATTAAGCTAAGGAAGACGAGGAATCAAAATAGTATTTGATTTCCTCTAAGATGAATGCTGGCTACATTCTCCACTTGCCTTCCCCTATTTGTCTTTACCACATAAGATTGGTACGTGTGAATACTGTACAGGTATAATTTCATTTTATATTACCTTGAATTAACGAAAAATTGTGCTTATCTTCGTTAATTCAAGAAGATAAGAACTGTTTGTCGTCAATTGAAGGTGACAATAGCTTCTTCTCAACTAATGTCTGCCCTGTTCCTTTTACCTTTATGTCTACCTTTTTTGTTAACAAATCATTTGGCTTCCCATTTTTTACCACACTTATAGCTTTTAGTAAAATGAAGCTTAAAAATCATAAGCTTTTTCGGGACATGCAAAAACTATAAAAAAAATGTAAAATCATCAGAAAAAGAAAAAAGAAAAAATTGTATTCAAATTATTTGTAGAACAAATTGTCTTTTGCTGTGTATATTTGATAATGCTTGAATTATGCTTCTTAGTTTTTAATAGGGTTTTGTTTCATATTTATTGGAAAATGAAAAATGGAGACATGGGAACACAATTATATATAGCATTGCTTATTTTTCTTGCAAATCAAAGATGTGCCAATGGTGTTGAGAGGACAATACCTAATTTAGTTTGACTGTTCTCATTTCTCTGAGTATTGTAATTGCATTTTTAAAGCCAACATAGTTTTCTTAGTTCATTAGAATTGATGGTGTTTTTTTAACAGGTTTGAAAAGATCCTGGTCATTCCGGTTAATTAAAGTTTTAAGATATCCTCATTCATTTAACACCTATGAAAATTAAGCATTTTCATTGTTAAAGTTTTAAATTATCCTTATTCATTTTGCAGGTTCATGTCCAGATTATATGAATTTTTTTTCCCAAATTCTAACCACTTATTGCATTGGAAAAATTACACTTTCACAGCCAAGGTAAATATTGCTAAACCTACTAGTGCTTCACCGGTGCTAATTATAAACAGCAGCACATGTACTTTTCTTTCCTTTTGATATAAATATGTCTCCAGCCATTTTTACCATATATACATATATCTATAAAATATGCATATATGGATACCACATGACCAGAAATATTCTTACGGATGACGTCTAGTTTTTCTTAGTAGCACTTGATTCACTAGCATTTCTAAGTTTTTGGATGAAGAACCATGTGGACCAGTAGCTTCTTCTGCAAGCTTCTTCCACACCATGACCTTATTTTTCATCTTCTTACCCTTCTCCCCATCCATTAACTCTCTGACCAGCCTCTCTACTTCATCCCTCTTCACATCATTACTAATTTCCATGCCAATGCCCCATTCATTGCAACTATAGCGGCAGTCCATCTGCTGGTCGCCGCAGAATGGCCAACAGAGCATAGGCACTCCTGCAGTGAGGCTCTCCATGGTTGAATTCCAACCGCAGTGTGTTAAAAATCCTCCCACTGATGGGTGGTTCAGGACTTGCTCTTGTGGGCACCAACCCGCAATGAGACTTCTTTCCTTTGTTTCAGCCAAAAACTCGGGCGGCGAAAGCGCTGATTGGCCAATAACCAAATCAGGTCTAATTACCCAAAAGAAGGGAACCTTGCTGTTTGCAAGTCCCCAGCCAAACTCGACAAGATGTTCACGTGTCATAATTGTTATACTGACAAAATTCACGTACACAATTGAATTTGGCGCCTTAGTGTTTAGCCAGTCGAGGCATTCTGTTTCTTCTTTCCATAGACTATCCAATATTCAAGGGGTGTTCCGGTATTTGATTGAGATGTAATTGAAGAGGGCCAACTGGATAAACAAGTGGAAGCATAGATGAGAGAGCCCCCAAAACATCTGGCTCTAAGGCATCAAAAGTATGAAGAACAACCGCAGAAGCTTTATGAGCACTATCGGTTGATTCCATTGAGAAGTTAAATATGATGTCATCCGGATCTGAAGTCCGAAGAGGGGTTGGGAGGTCCTTTAAACGGATATCTTTCATTCCTGGAATCCAATCTATAACCTTTTCCAAATAGTCTCAAAGGCACAAATTCGAGAAATTAAATTCCGTTGTTTCGATTTCCGTCATTTTGAAATTTCTTAGTAATCTTAAGTTAAATTTCCTCATTCAAACACAGTAATAGATTCTCATATGCTAGTTTATGACACAACAACAAAAGTTACTATTTTGAGTCATTAACGCTATCGCTCTACCCAAAAGAGTTTCTTAATAGCACATTATTGACTAAATTGTCCAGGTTTGTGGATGAGGAACCATTTGGACTGGTGGATTCTTCTGCAAGTTTCTTCCACTGCATGACCTTAATTTTCATTTTCTTACCCTTTTCTCCCTCCATTAATTCTCTAACAAGCTTCTCTACCTCTACTCTTTTGACATCATTACTAATCTCCATCCCAATATCCCATTCATTGCAAGCACACCAAGTGTTAGTTTGTTGGTCAGCAAAGAAAGGCCAACAAAGCATAGGAACTCCTGCACACAAACTTTCAACAACCGAATTCCAACCGCTGTGTGTTAAAAACCCTCCAACTGAAGGGTGGCTAAGTACTTGCTCTTGCGGGCACCAACTTGCTATCAAACCCCTGTCCTTAGTTTCAGCCACAAATTCAGCTGACAAAATCGCCGATTCACCAACAACCAAATCAGGCCTGATTACCCAAAAGAATGGAAGCTTGCTATTTGCAAGTCCCCATGCAAACTCTACAAGATGTTCTGGTGTCATGACTGCTATGCTGCCAAAATTCACATAAACAACTGAATTTGGTGGCTTTGAGTTTAGCCATTCAAGGCACTCAGTTTCTTCTCTCCACAGGCTATATCCCATATCGTTCAAAGGATCTTTTGGTAAGTGATTGAGAAGCAATTGGAGAGGGCCAATGGCATAAACAAGTGGAAGCATTGAGGAGAGAGCAGTCAAAACATCTGGCTCCAATGTTTCAAAAGTATGAACAACAACTGCTGAAGCTTTATCAACTCTTTCCACTGATTCCAAACTGAGCTTGAACACGCTGTCGTTTGGATTTGTAGTTCGAAAATTTGCCGGTAGATCCCTTAAACGAATATCCTTCATTCCTGGAATCCAATCTATTACCTTGTCCAAGAAGCCGTTTGTCAAACAGCTCTCATCTACATATATAATTAACACTCTAGTAAGAGTAATTAAATGAAATTAAATATCTTATGTTTAGAAACGAGAGATTAAACAATAGGACGAGTGATGGGCATGGACTCTCCCCGAGTGTGTAGGACCGTATGTTTTGCGTTCTACACCTACTCCGAGGAGCTACCATGGTGCAATACACTAATTTAATTTTTCGTTAAAAAAAATTAATCAATAAAATTATGCAATTAGCTTATTCAAATGATTTGTTTCACTACCTTTGAGTGGTGCAATACCCTTTTCCACCAAAGTAGGGTATTGTTTATAGCCCATGAAGCTGCCTGCAGAAATAGGAAAGAAGAGTACCAAAGGGAGTCCAATTTCGTCAGCAGCTGTGATTGTAAATGGCATGAAACCATCTGAGAAAATGCAAGTCACTGGAGGACTAACATTATTGATCGAAATCGCCGCGTCATTGAGTTTTATGAGGAGGTCTCGAAACGGAGGCAAAAGGTTTTTGCTGATGGCATCGGATGCTAAAGAGGTGTCTTGGGTGGCATCTTGGTTGGAGTCTGGTGAAAGGCCATCTGGAATGGTTTCAAATCGAAAATCAGGCAAGCCGTCGAGGGAGTTGGATCCAAGAGATTTAAGAAAGCGGTTGTGGTTGAACTCTGTGTTGACGAAGGTTATATGAAACCCTCTATGGTGGAGTAGCTTTGAAAATTTAAGCATTGCCTTTATATGGCTTTGAGCTGGAGCTGGAATACAAACAGCATGAGGTTTATTGTTAGCCGCTGCCTTGGAATCCATCTTAAGATTGTGCTTATGCGTTTGTGCTTGCACTCAACACAAATATATATAATATATGTGTATATATGTGCGGATTAGTACTGTTCTTAAAAGTAGACACAACCGTAAGTCAAATTGAATGCGTGCTCCTTTAAGACTTGCAGGTTACGCAAAAATTAATCTTGGGCGACGAGGTAATTGACTAATTGTCTTTTGTTTCATGATAGAGGCATACAGCGCAGCCAAAATAGAAACTTAAACGGTGACTTATTGCACCGAACTATCTCAGAATAAACTAGCTTCAGTGATTAAGACTGTCTTCCCTCTGTCCTCCCTCTCTCTTTCTCATCTTTTCTCTTCGTGTCCTCACTCTATTTAATTATAACGGGAACATAGATGATATCACGTGTTTTTTTGTAAATAGTAAAAAAATTATTTTTTAAGTTATTAACTTTCTGACACATAAATTTTACTATTTATATAATGATACGTAATGTATTATTTCGTGTGCCAATCACACTAAAAAAATCTCTCATTCTTGTGCTGACAGGTTAAGTAAATTTAGAGAGATTTGAAAGAAAATAGGCAAGGTTTTGAAGAAATCTTTTTACGGATTGACTTAATGGTAGATTTGGCCGCCAACAAATACCGTGCAAGTAAAAAATCAACCGAGCAAGACAGAAAGACAGCTATTTGATCACGACTCCACGGCTTTTCCCCTTGTTTTATACAGTAAGAGAAATGCTGTACGGTAACGTAAGGATTAAAAAATCTATAGGGAAGATTCTAGAAATGGCGAACTGTATATGTGTAGAAAAAGTCTATTTCCAACTGATCTGAACTTTCATACATTTTACAATACTTATATATAATTAGATCAAAACTTTACACCTATACTATATGAGGAGAAAAGCTTTACACCGATGCCACATGCAGCAACAGCACATATGCAGCAATATTAAAATGTTCTCCCTGCTGTCCAGGAGCAACAGCACAGCAGCCACATGCAATCTTCCTTTCCAGAAGTTAATGTCCTCTCTTTAAGGAAACGATGACCACAGTTGTAATGATGGCAGTCTGCATGTGGAGCATCAGCACATGGAGGCACATGGAGGGAATGAATAATTAATACAAGGATTTCAACAAAGATGCTATACAATAATCTTGTTAAGTCATTTACCATTAAAATCAAAGGCGGCCCGTCACTTTGTTCTTTAAAAATTGGATGCTGTCTTGTATCATTGAGTAATTAATTATAGATCGTAAAATCATGGCAGGAGAAATCATATATGCATAACAAAATTTGTTTGTGATTCATGACCTATTTTTTAGCGCACACAGCATTTCTTGGATCGTAAAATCATATAATAATTTGACACCGGTGACACCATGACCTTATTTCTTTGTAATTATAGATCATAAAATAATGTAACATTAAGTTCAACCTGAACAACCAAAAAAATAAAGAAAAAAAAAACTAATATCTAGGCAATATTGAAGATGGTGGCTGGCTAAACATATATCCATGACATTTACTGGATCGATCCCATTTTGCACCTTCAGGGTAACATGTAATAATTTGATTGCTCTCTCTTGAATTATGAAAATACATATGGTACCGTACCCATAAAACGGGTTTATTACTAGTAATATGCATGCGTTCTGTTGCAGGATTTGAATGCATTAACCTTAATTGCATGAATAAGACACATTTAACCTAAGAAAAAAAATTCAATATATTCATGAATGAACAAAAGGGCTAGATGAGTGAGTGACGTCGGTAAGATAAGCAACTTAACTTTTATATACATTCAACCCAGCTGATTACAAAATATGTGGTTGCAAAAAATGCTTTGTTTCGCCAAGAAAAAGAAGCAACAGCCCCGTATGCTTGACCAATGGTTCCATACTCGTTTTCAATCCATGGAAAATTCTTTGTTACAATTGATCACACCAAGACAAAAATAAAGGAAGACTTCTAATCCCATAAGTTACCAAAGAAAATTCTTTGTTACAATTAATCACACCAAGACAAAAATAAAGGAAGACTTCTAATCCCATAAGTTAGCAAAAATTCTACTATCCTAAATTCCTAATCCCACTTGACTTCACTGCCCCACACCTTTGTCCTCTGTCTCCCATTGACTAAAAACACTCCCAAATCACACCAGCCAGCCATACAAAGCCGTTGGCCACATCAAATTTTAGGCACGATTCAGGTAACCAAATTCAAATACCAGAGTTCAGATACTGAAATGCAAAGAACACGATACATACAGTAAAATTCAAGAACATGATTAAGAGGATTTGAACAGGTCGAATAAAATTATATTCAGTTGAATCCTAACTATAACATGCTAAATAAATATGGAAAATAATACAACAGTAGAAACTTTGGAGAATGGACATAAAAGAATTTATGTTCAGAAAACGACTTCAAATAGGAAGAGAAAAGTTTAATGAGCTCATAGCATCCTCCATTGTTGTACGCTATTCTTGGATGGACGATAAACCATATCTGACACAGCCATTCTCGCAATCTTTGAAGAACTTTTCAGTTTTAGGAGTGCTCAGATTATACCCATTCCAATCTGAAATTAAATAAGAACTCAATCAAAAACCTTAATCCTACAATTCCCGACTCTTCATCGGCCCTCGCCATTACAAACAGATTTACTCCCTTAGGATCAACAATAGGAAATATCCGACCAAATTACCAAACGGCCTTAGCCACCCCTTATGATCCTTACTCTTCAGTACGTTCTCCAACACCCTCACAACCTAAAACACCTAGCTATGCTAAAACTTCTCCATATATCCAAAACCCCACTACTGAAAAGCTTTTTTGCATACCTCTTAACATTGATAAAAATCAACCTCCAGAATGTATTACTAAACTGCTTTTGCCCCCAAATTCTCACTATCTCCCAGCAGCACCATACAAAAGTCTCAAATACTACCAGGTCATTCTCTCTGAGACCGAAAGCATTGCTATTAAGCCAATTTACAGCACCACTCACCAAAATAAAATTTTATACCATTCACTTTATATTGGAAAATTTCTCATTGAACAAGATTGGGGTCTCCCCCTTTATCATACCAAAACCCTTCACACCCAGCATGTTCTCATACCAAACAACAATTACAATTATTATGATTACATTCAAGCTTGGACTAATATTTTTCTTCATCAGACGGAAGATTTTAGTCATTCATGGTTCGTGACCTTTGATAAAAGTTTCAGATTGAGATTCCCAGCATGGTTTCCAGACTGGTGGGCTACTCATGGCCCAAATATTTCCCTTGTCCCTGAAGATCTTCGTCAATCACTAAACAATAGTTTCAAGACTGGTTTTGACCGCATCCGTTTTGACAGCCGGGTTTCCTTATTCTCTTTATTCATGGCCAAATACAAAGTTCCATGGATCTTAAAATGGAATTTCCAGTTAGACAATAGAGGAATTTTTAGGACCCGGTGGGTGAAATGGTGGGACAAATTCAACTACCAAAAGATTATTGATCTAGTTCGTGCTGAATTTCCCCAGAGTTCGTCCCCAACAATTGCTGCATCTTCTTCACAGGCCTTGCCAGACACTCAACAATTTCCTGAACTACCGAAAGCTCAAGTACCAGCTCAATCTCTATCAGACATTAGTCCATCCTCCTCCCTCAAAAGAAAGACCAAGTCAACCAAATCCTCTAGCTCGAAGAAAGAAAAATCTTCAAAGACTACCCAGCTTCTGGACTTGGCCCAGCAGCTCATGGCCGAAGCAGCAATGCTCCAGAAAAAGAAAAATTCCGACTCGGATTCTGACGCTTCTGATGCAGGGTCTCAGTCTCCCGCCAATTAGGCTGATCAAGTGGACCTTCAAGACGCACAAGATCCGTTCGATTTTTGAAACTGCTTTATTTGCCCATGTGATTGTGTCAGCCAAACAACATCATCAGCAGTAGCTGCTATCATCTCTTCCGCAAAAGACAAGGCATTATTCTTCAATAGTGAAAAAACAAAAAGATCACTGTTCATCTAGCTTTTGTAAAAGTAACAACGTGACTCCACAGTAAGGATTCATCAGTCAGCCAGCTTTGCCAGCTTTCTCCTTATGCCAGCTGGATTCCCGGATTAAAATTGCATTCCTCAATCATTCTCCTCCCTCTATAAAAGAGGAATTCATCTTCAGAAGACAAACATGGGTTTTTAACTCAATAGCTCAGTTCAAGAATACATCTCTCTGCTTATCCACGAAGGACAGAGATTATTTTCCCAAACACTTGTAATACATATATTATTCAGGATGCCTGTGAGCTACACCTTGTTTACTTGTTTCATCTGCCATTAGGCAATACCTGTTTGTAATCTGCATTGCAGTAAGTTTTCAATAAAACTTATTTTCCAAATATATTTGTATCATTACATTTAATTCATTATTTTCATGGAATTATCTTCTATAATTAATTTAATTATTTCCTTCCATGTTATCATCAGTCATCCATGGATGTTTTTTTTTCAATCAACCTGAGTTCTTTTTAATTCAATATATTGATATGCTTCTCTGTTTTTATATGCTTTACTTCCGCACTTTGAATTCTATGGACGGCTTTGCCGCCTGCTGCTGTTAGTTCCGCCCCATTTGGTATCAGAGCCAAGTGGTTGGTAATTGCATTAGCATCTATTTGATCTATTTCTGATTCATACATTCTTATATTCTATCTGCATTTCTTAATCGTCGGTCCTCAGTTCTTCTTTCTTCCAGCCAAACAGTAAGGCGTGGTCCAAACATTAAGTCCCAGGAGAGGCATGAGCGGAGCGCATGAGCGGGGGAAAAGTCTAGACATACGAGGAAGGTGAATCTTTTAAGTCTTGCATACAGCATATTTGTTTTGTGTGCATCATGAGTAGATTATTTAGATCTAATTTAATAGCCAGCACTAGCTCTAGACCCAACTTAGGAACTATACCTGACATTGTCAATGAAGAACAAAAATTAGATTTTCAAACGGACGAAAGTATTGATTTTTCTGAGTGGAATATTCCA